GCACGACTTCACAGAGGTGTGTGTGCACATGTGTGTGTATACCAGTCCCTACCCATTACATTACCTTCAATCAATCAAACTTTATTTGCACATTTCATACAGTTGAGTGCAGTTCAGAGTAACAGTGTAGTGTTACTCCAATGAATGGATGTAAAAATGTTAACTAAATGTTCTCTGACTGCAGCTGCGTCGCAAAACATTCATCATATATGTGAAACCAGAGCTTCCAGGTTATTCTCCACATGATCTCATTCAGAATAACAATGACATTTGTAAGATTATGAATTACTAAAAAGCCTTACAATATAATCTTGGTTAACAGTTCGGCTCATGGTATTGATGTCTGGAGTGCGAGAGTACATTTTAAAATATGTAAGGTTTCTGTCTTTAACACTATTCACCACAAACACTTTTTGTCCACTTAAATACATTAAAAGCTGTCTTTTTCCACACAACTACTTTATTTACTTTTTCTATGTTAAATAGAGAGCAACACCTTTATGTCTTTAATGTGAGACTGAGAGAGGGGCTCATTAACACGATTATCATATAAATAATGTTAATGATTCACTCTTTCAGTGTCTCCTCAGTGGATCTTCTTCCTCTCTATTACAGGAAGCTTTTTCACCTTTGTGTGGATAATCAAACCAGGATGAAACACGTTTGCTTCCAGGCGACTCATCATACAAATGAGTCCATGTGACGTTTAATATAACGGCACTGCAATAAGGCGTTGATTTAACTTTATGTTATTTTGGAGGCTGTAGTTTCTGCTGCTATTTAACCTCTGTGACTGACCGAGGTGAGAAAGTGAGAACGGTTGGAACTTCTCTCTCAAGATCTCTTGTTTTATTCCTGCACACAACCAACTGCAACACTATGAATCTTCCTGGAGAGAGTCTGAAAATGTGAACCATAATCTCCATATTTAAATTATTATTGCGTCCCCCCCCTCTCTATCGCAGCAGGCTATTCACCTTCAAGTCCAGCCACTCTGAAGAGCTACAACACGTCGTAGAAACCAGCTCTTTTCTGGTATAACCCGGCCTTTAATCCGATCACCATATCATTAAGTCTCCGCGGTGCTCTGAGACGTCAGACAGAAGCAGAGACAGGAACTCACCTGAGTTAGAGTCGGGAAAGGAAAGGTAGCAGATGCTGGTTTTCTGAAAGAAAAGAGATCCTGATGATGAATGATGAAAAAACAGGAAAAATAATAAAGAAACTCATACTCTACTTTAGTGTGCCTGTGTTTATCAGCATGAGTTTATGAAGAGAAAGAGAGACTCACCTCTTTCTCTGACAGTTTGGAATGATGCGGATAAATAACCTGAAACACAAAGAAAGAGTTACTACACAGCAGGAGATCAACACCACGACAACGGTTCAGCTTCAGTACAACTTTAATCTTTACCAACATCTCTCTGCAGTGTCACCGGATCCATTACGATCTTTAACTCTTCTCTGTCTGCCATTTTACAGCAGCTGACTGAGAGTTATCAGGCACCATATTACAATACGTAAGAATATATTTCCTAATGAATGTGTAAGAATAAATAAGTACTTTGTTCAAACGTGTTCCTGAACTGACCAAGTTTCCAGTCTAACGGATTAAAACAGAACTTCTGTGTTGCTCCGTTCAGAAGAGAAAGTGAAATAGAAAGTAAGACTGACCTCAGATCAGTGTACAGCTTATTAACACACGCAGTGTTAGTTCAAAATGTGTTATTGATTCTGTATCACGAGCTCCTGTGAGGACAACAGGTGTTCTGTTGACCCTTCAGTGGGATTCAAACCCTCCGTGCCAGAGATGCTTTGCTCAACTCCCCAAATTCAGTGTGTGTGTGTGTGTGAGGGAGGTCGTCACTGAACTTCTGCTGCTTTACTTCAGGCAGTAAGGATCATTCTGAAAGTTACATCAGTCACAGAAAAGGTGCAGACTTTGTAATCCACACTAACCCACAGATTACAAGGACCCTGCTTATGTTGATTCCTATTCAAAACTGCACAATGACACCAATGTTTGTGTAAAACAAGTAATTTGGATGAACTCTGAGCAGATATTCTCTGTTAGGAAACTTCATTATCTGTCTGTATCAAACTTACTAGGCTTTTTTTGTGTTATCTTGTCCCAGACATTTATTATCTATTAGACAATTTACTTTACCGCTGTGTATATTTTATGAAGTTTTCTAGCACACCTTAAAATCAAGAAGGCTTCGTGACCCCCTGCGAAGCTTTGACGACCCCTAGTGAGGGTCCCAACCCCTAGATTGGCAACCACAGGACTACAGAGTGAGACAACGACACAATTATACATTTTGAGTATTGAAACGTATTCCTGCTGTAAACAGTGAGCAGGAATACGGAGTAAACCTGTAAATCCCCTCTGAGGATCAGTCAGGGTTTGTTTTCCTCACACAGAAATGGTTTCACATAGTTTTATGTGTTTATTTTAATGAATAAGTTATAATTTAAATACTCATAATGACTCGTAATGATTGTGTCACCCTGCAGTATCGATTGATCTGCTCCTCTTCTGTGGGTAATGTTCATTTCATAATGATCCTTACTGCGTGAAGTCAAGCAGCAGAAGTTAAGTGACAATGTGCAAATACTAGTGTCTCATTTGTGAGTCTTACAGGTCTTTGTTCACACAGGACGTTTCTCCTTTGCTGGGGGGTAAATGAAGAGTAGTTAAAGTCACTTCTGCAGGTCACACACTTGTTATCCTGCAGTCAAAATACCGCCACAAACAGACCAAAGGAAAACTAAACAAGGAACCAAACACACAGCTCAACAGAGAGGTCTGTGTGCTCACGTCCAGGAAATAGTCCGAGCCTTGCAGAACTGCTAACTTAGACATTTTTTTTATCTCCAGTGTAAAGAAGAAGCTGAACCTGAGCCAGCTGCCCCCCCTCCTCACCTCCACCGCCTGTCCCAGCTCCAGGTCGAAGCCGACCACACAGATGCAGTGCAGCCAGGCGGAGAAGCGGTCCCAGGGCAGCAGGAGAGCCTCCTCCGGCTCCTCGTCGCCTCCAGGCCCGGAGGGCAGCGTGATCTCCTCGGCCGGAGAGATGCTACTTGCGTCCTGGTCGTCCAGATCCTCCGGCTCCTCGACCTGCTCCCCCAGCTCCTCCGGGCCTTGCAGAGCCATGGCGACGGCCCGACACGGTCACTCAGGCGCTCCGGAGAATGTTTACGGTTCTCTGGATACGTTAACTAGTTAGTTTAGCGTCCCTCAGGTCGTCAACAACAACAACAACATCAACAACATCAACAGGAGGCGAGCGAGCGGGCACAGAAGAGTAGCCACTGAAGCTAGCACGGCGGAGTACGTACGACGCGGTGACGACACGCGGAACGTCATTACGTAAGGCCGTCCCTGGCACCGGGTTGCGTTCAGGTCCTCACAGGGCTCCGTAAACCAGCATGTGGGAGACGGATTTGTCCAATAAATGTTGAAACGAAGAGTTAGAAATCTATAAAAATATAGTCGTGGTAAGTTAAAACATATGAGGTGCTAAAACTAAATGTTTCACTTTTACAGAGATAAAAAAAACCAGCTGCTAGTATTTGTGTTATTGTGTTATCTGTTGTGGGTTTTTACTGTTTTTTTTTCTTGTACAGTGTTTATATTATATTATATTATTTTTTCATACTGTTTTTATACTGTCTT